CTCCAGTCAGTTATTCTTGGGGCGTTACGCTTTTACAACAAAGTCCCAGAAAATGTACAGACCTTATCTTAAAGGTTTAAAATATTTGTTAAGCAAAAATTGTTTAGTAAGGGTTATTTTACTACTAAAGAGTACTTATATGATTGATAATAGCCCCTGGGAATGAGGTGATCGCTACCATGCTGTTTCTTATTTTTTTCGTAACAACTGTACAAATATTATATTGTAAGTCATGCTTTTAACAAAAAAAAAATCCCGCTGTGTTTCTTACTGGTTCTTCCCAGGACAGAGGTTTTACTCCGAACCAGTGGTAAAGTAACAAATTACTTTCAATAAGAATTACATGTAATCAATATGGAATAAATATGATTCTATTCTATTATATTCTATTCTTTGAGATCAATAATATAATCTATAGTTTTAGTATTTAATATGACAAATTAAGAAATTTGGACACTGCCCCGCTAGCATCGTAATCCTCGGCGTAGATATATCGAATGATCTAGTTTCGTGGTCACTTGGATAGAAAGGATAAATTGGCCTCTATAAAGCTTGGCGTGCTTAGCAGAGTGGGACAGTATTTTATGCCGGCACACTGCTTGCAACTTTACAAGGTTGCAGGTTCGGCCTTACATGGAATACTGTTCTCATCTCTGGGCCCGTGCACCAAAGTGCCAGCTCCTTCCACTTCTGATCGGGTCGATTCAATTGCGCTGCGAAGGGATGTTGCATCCCTTTGCATTTTCTATCGCATCTACCACGTGGAGTGCTCTGAGGAATTGTTTCAAGTTTTCCAGACCGATACGACTAAGGGAACCTCATGAAAAGCACCTGCAATTCTCCTGGTGTTGCAGTTGTTCATGGGCGGCGGTAGTCACTAACCATCAGGTGAGCCACATGCTCGTTTGCCTCGCCTTCAAGACTACTGCAATATGATATAGTTGACAAGCCAGAGAACTGTGCGTGCGGTCGTAGCTAAGTTCTGCAAGACCCGTCACAGAAGAACCCGAAAACTATATGTTTTAGTTTTCGGGTTCTTCTGCGACGGATCTTGCAGAACTCCAGATCACACTCTTAATCTTATAACAGTGAAACGAAGAATTTAACTCAACACGCAAATTTACAAATTTATGTGGAGCGATTTACGCAACCTTTATTCAGTTCGTATTGAGAAGCGATTGAGCGAAACCAAGTCTTCACCAGAGATATTTTTGTCCGTGATAGTGATGTATTCGCCATTGATGTTGATACTACTTATAACTAAACTTAATATTAGGTTTTGTAATAGCCAACGTAGGCTTACAGTTAAAACACACGACACAAAGGCTTTCTCATAGTCCACATACGAAAATTAAAGTGGCAAACTGTACGCTTCAGCCTTCTGCACGTCTCCGCAGTTTAATAGGTTCCGTGATCTGGTTCTTTATTCTTATATCCAACGTAGCCTTACAGTTGCATCACATACTTTGATACACCGACGCCTTAAATTTTGACGGAATCAAAGGCTTTGCTTTAGTCCCACATATGCGAATGAAAATGGAAACTTTTACCCTTCTGTCGTCTGTACAACTTGCCAAAGAGCTTGTCTTTTAATATTCCCTCTATTTAGAAGCATTCTACTAAACTTTTAAGTACCTATCATAATTCGCCAATAAAAGTTTTCACAATATTCTCAACACCTACAGGATTGCAATATGTTTGAAAATAAGTAACCATTACGAATTTTAATATTAACCAAAATGAGCTTTCCCCGGTTTGTGCCAAGATCATACGTTCTTTTTCGAAGAGTGTAATGTTTATGAAAACGAAAAGATTCTGATGTATTAAATTAATAAAGCTATTACTCAGATATTTTCATTCTCCACTCATAAATAGACTCATAAAAACTACAGTATTCATCCAAAAGTACCAATAAAAAACATTGTAGTACATGTGATAAAACAAAAGAAAACATTAAAGACTTACATCATGGTACCGAAATACCTCCGATTACGAATTTACACCCCGATTACGACAATAATTATTACTTTGTGCCTCACTTTCGAGTAAAACACAGTCAATGTTCTCATCCGTTCTGTGCTTTATAATTCTGTTTGTTGTAATAAGACAAGTTAAATATAAAAAGGCAAGAATTTATTATTTTATAATAATATTTTTTAATATTCTATGTACTTAACAGGGGATCTCACTATAAAAGCAGTTGTTAGGATATTTATGTAACAGCAAGAAGCAAAATTATTATCGAAAAATATCACCAAGGGAGAAGTTTCATGATATTAATGATAATGATGTAATAAGTGACATGAGCGCCACAAGTAACTGCACGTCAGTGAGTTTATATGTACTATGCGTAAACTTCATAGTTCGTAACTATGTGAATGCTGGATGGAGGGACGAGTCAGTAAAACATGCAGGTGGTTGATGAATGCAGGTGGCTCAGGACCGTGCTTTGTGGCATTCCTCGGGGGAGACCTATGTACAACAGTAGACTTCTAAAGGTCTATAATGGTGATGATCCCAATGCGAGTTATGTATATATAAGCTAATATAAACGGGAGAAATTATGCGAGGCGTGACACGCTGGGTCACTAGGCTGTCGCATGGAAATATTTTTTTTATAGGATAAAGTTCAAGCCTCTTATCTCATTCATTTGTAGAGATATTTTAATAATGCTTTTTACCTTTTATGTTACTTCAATTTTGTTATAATGTATACGAAATATTAAAAACTTCTCCAAAGGTTGAGTGGTATTTGTAGCGATATTATAGCTGTATTTTGGTTATAGTAGTCATTAACCAATAGGAACAAAAATATACTAACAAGCTACAACAATAGGAACAAATATACAGATACACTACCAATATTACAAACTTCATTAAATAATGTAAATTCAGTTTCTAAAGTAAAAACCTAGCTTCTTAAGTTAAATATAGATAATCAAAAACAAAATGTATTTATAGAAATTAGAAAACAATATAGTCAAACATGAAGATTATAATAAACTTATAAATGTTCGTAAATGTAAAAATCCTGTAAAAATATATCATCACAAAATGTTAATTAATAACACACATTTCTTTAGTACAAACTCCATTCAAAAAATAATACAAAAAATATTACTAGGTACAATCGGCGAATGGAAAATATTCCATTAACCGACTACAATGGGTGCGTTGCAAAAACTACAAGCGCTTATAGCGCAAAATAGTTCGCCAGAGATTTTTCCTTGGAGGGCACAAACCCCCCTTTTTTTTTTTTTTTTTTTGATAGGTATTTTTTTTTTTTAATTTTTTATAAAAAAAAAAAAAAAAACCCCCCCCTCCCCTAAGAAACTTTTACCACCAATGTCACAATAATATTTGACAATAAAACAAATACGAAAAAGTACAAATATTGTTACGTAATAATCAAAATATAAAGGTAAGAATTTTTTTCTTAAATTCAATTTATGTAAAAATATTTTAATTTCATTTTATAGAGAAAAAAAACTATTATTTTAAGTTTTACTTAAATGCACACACAACCAATATTAAAATTTGTATTTAGTCAGCTAATGCCTAATTTGCAAAGGGAGAGTCAAAATGACTATAATACAACAAAGGATAACATCTTGAAATACCTAATTTGATAAAGAGCTACTTCTTGAAATGCTTCGATTTCAAGCCCAATTTAGTGACTGAACTACACTGGTGTGGAAATGGGATGGCCATATAACTCAAATAACTGGGGACAGTCTTGTGCTGGTAAGTGCAGGGTGGGGCAGACATGCAAGAAGTCAATGGATGCAGGTAGCTCATGACGCATTTTTGTGGCATTCCTAGGGGAGACCCATGTTCAGCAGTAGAATTGTGAAGGGAATGATAAAGATGATGATGGTGGTACTTTAAGGTGGCAATATTTTTTTTTCTAATGCAGAGCTAAGCTCTGTCAATCAAGTACTTACTACTATAGACTGACATTTTACCACCTTGGCAAAAAGCCGAGCCGACTAATTAAGGATGCTAAAAAAATTCTAATAAAAAAAACTGAAGAAAACCTTATAACATATTAATTTTTGCTCCCAAATAGTTACAATAATACTTCAGGTATTAATCAAAAATATGCAAAATATTACAAGGATGCACTAGGTTTAAACTTTTAAAGGATTACAAATATGAAAATTGAAACATAGGCATAGTTTTAATAAATTATGTGGTGATTCTATACAAATTTCATCACCACAAAGAAGTATTTGTCATGCTATGCTTGATGAATTGGTTATCCACCACCTTATCAGAGGCCATAAATAACATATTAATTTCTAGTATTTCCAATAGTTCACACTTACAATACTAAAGAAATGAAATATTATATTGTTAGAATTCACTAGTCATTTTTAAATATGCTTTTCATTAATTTTTTTATATAAAAATAATTAGTAAAAGTAAAAAAATACATTTTACATCAAATTACTAATATTCATTGATAGTCCTCATTATGCAAAGTTGAATAACAAAAGCTACAAACAAATTATTTCCTCCATAATGATAACAAATACATATGTAACATATTTTTCATTGATAATTCATTTTTACCTCATTTTACAATCAACCTTGACAAAATATATAGCAAGTTTTGTGATAAGATAAGAACACAACAAAGTTATGAGATATTGGAAGTTAAGCATGTTTATTTTATCAACAACTATCTTGAGCATTTGGTACTCAAACTCTAAAAAAACTAAAAATCAAAATTGACAACCTCTAGGCTCGGATATCAAATTGTCTATACTGGCGTGTTTCCCAGGTTGGAACTCGAAATCAAATGGTATTGGTTAATGGTTGACACAACCACCTCAAATACTGCATCTCTATGTGATACAGCACTGGAATGTCAGGTTCAAAACCAGTGAGGAGGTTAATAACCTCAACAGCATGCCTATAACTTTATTTTACTTTGATACCTCTTCTTAATGATATAGTAGAATGCGATGTACATTCCTATTGAGCCCAAAATTATATCACAAGCATGGTGGAGGTAAAGGCATGTCAATTAACTTGCATACTTCTAGTAGAAAATTCTTTAGTATAGCTGCCTGGTTATCCTTTGAGCCATTTAATATAATAGTAGGAATAAAAGTCGGTTTAATGATGTTTGTATCATCACCATGTTTCTTTAGTAAAGCTGAACCATGTTCATTTGTAGCACAATCACGTATTGGTTTAGGATCAATCTTCATTTGCTTTGCACACTGAAAAATGTAAGTCAACATTTTATTTTAATGATTATTACTAGAGATGGACCGAATATTTGTTTCGTATTCGACATATTCATCAGCTTTACCGAATATTCATATTTATTATAAAAAGGAACAAAAAAAAAAAACCGAGAGCCCCAAAAAAAAAAGGGCCACACCAGCCAGAATATTCGCCTATATCACCAAACATTCGTTAAAGAGGTACTCAGTGTTCACAGTATTGAAATGTGCGCAATGAGTAATGCCATGACTTTCATAATTTTACTGTTGAAAGTACATTTTATTTATGGGTTAAATCTACTTGTATAGCATTATGTTTTTGAGGCACTGTAGATTTATTTCCAATTATTGCAAATAGAAAGCTTGATAAAATATTTTTGGAATCAAACAAAGAAACATTACATTATATTAGTACATTTTACTTTGGTTATCAGTTTCTCTAAAATAAGTCCAAGTATTAAAATTAAATTGAATCTCCTGCCACTCATTTTTATATAATTATCAATTTTCATAAAGAATAACACAACAAAATACTTTTTTTCTCACAAAAATAGTCAAAAGATAAGCATGTGCCTGAAATTTGCTCAGTTCTAGATGATGCAATAACATGTCAGGTGTGGCAGGGTCGTGAGGGGCAGGGTCTGTCGCTAATTCCACGCGGTTTATGGTAACAAGTTCAGACATAAATTGGTTATGTACCGAGGTGATCCTGCCGAATAATATTCGGTTGAATATTCGGTTCAGTGAAAGTTTTACCGAACTTTCGGCCGAATATTCATATTCAGTGAAATCCATATTCGGCCCATCTCCAATTATTAGAGCATTACAATGCTTTAATCTATCATTCAGAATGTTATAAGTTTTATTTTATTATAAATATGCTATATTTCATTACCCTTTCAAGAGCCTTATCAGCATCCATATTGTCTGCAATCATACAATCAGTGAATTTCACTGACATGGTCATGTTGCCCAAAGCTTCAATTGAGCATGAGTGGATTTTGTTTGCAAAGCATTCTTCTTCGCCATGCTGACACATAAAGTAATATTTTCCGTTCTTTTCTTTAGTCTGTTATTAAAGACAAAAATAAGTAAGCATCATTATTTACCTACTACTGATGAAATTATTGCTTAAATATAGAAAATATAACAAATATTATATTGGATTCATCTTAATCTTCAACATATGTACAAATTACTTACACGGACATGGCTCTTTTAGCTAAGAGCCTGTCTTAGTTGGTTAGTGGTATCACTCTTACATTATTCTTCGACCGAGCAGCAGTACAACTGCTTTGTTATATTTAAACTTCTTTATAAAAAGCTGTGAGGCATTTCATGTTGGTACTTTGGGGTAATAATGCATTTATGGTCTTTTTTTTTTGAAGTTGCTTATAGGTGTTTGTGGGATCCATGCAGTAGAAATATATAATTAGAATAATTGTTCGCTTGTTTGTCCCTCTTATGTAATAAAGACTAATTATTTACTTCAGATTCAGACCAATAAAGTATAAAGAAATAAATATTTAATAAATGTCGAAATATTCTCAAACAACACAAATAATATTATAAATATAAGCAGCATACTTACAGTAGCTTTTCCATATGGAACTAGTGTAACATGTATGAATTCTGATAATTTTTCTGTTACTGGGGTTAGGTGTTTTAAAAAGAAATGCTTGGAATCAGGACATAAGGCTTCATAGTATACGCGTATTTTAACTTTATCTTGTTTATGTTTATTATATTTGTCATCTTCTAATACCACAATATCAACCTAAATAGAAAAGAATACTAGTGAAAAAAATGTTGTAAAAAAATAACAAAATATACATGTAATGTTAAATATCTCCGTTTACCCCAGACAACTCTGCCGCTGGTTTCTCAGGCATTAGCCTCATAATTTGCCACATAATTAATACGAGCATTAATAATACAATCAATCGGTATCGTGTACAAGGATAAAAGACCATATTTACAGCACGTATTCACAGTATTCCACAAATAAGTCCCTAATAACTAAGACGGCTTAATTAACATATTTGTATGATAGACATAATATTCTTGTTGTTTTATTAATAATTATTCAAAATTAGGAAATTAGATACGAAACTTGATTATTGACATTATTTGAACAAGAGAAGAGAAACGTCACGTGATTAGGGATGTTCGGTGATCATCGATGTTAAAAATCAAAACACCGATGTCAATGAACCCATAGTCGATTAATAAGAACTTGAGAACAATGCGAACCCGCGAAATCAATACCAACTGAATCTTGCATCTCCTATTAAAGGTTTAAAATTTTGAAAAATTCAGAATTCCTAAACACATCGATCACCTAAAAAAATATCATTATGGTGTGTCAAATTTAACTGTCAAGTGTGAACTGTAATGTCACTATAGTCCCACAAGGATCATTTGGCACTTGTATGACATTGACATGAGGGCGTGGGTGTTCACTAACGTTTACCAGCTAAAAAAAATCCTTTGTTTTATGGAATTCGTCTTAATTATGGAGTATGGGGCTTGGCAGTATCCCAACTAATATTATAAATGCGAAAGTGAGTTTGCTTGTTTGTTTGTTACGCTTTCACGCCCTATCTACTGAGCCGATCATCATGAAATTTTGCATACACGTTGGGAATGATGTTGTGGCGAAAGCTAGTTGGGTTATATAACTAGGTTGTTAAATGGTTTTTGCAGGCTCAGGCTTACCATAAGGCAGGCATTATGCTTAGTTGTTACCTTAGTAGTATAAATTAAAAGAAGGAAATATTTGGATGACAGAATTTATAAAATGAAAACTATAATGAGTAAACGAAATAAAAAACAATATTTCAAATTTTTTTACTATAATTATGTTTTGCATGAACTATGGCGAGAGGTTCAATGCTATTAAATTCTTCATCACTTTCATCTTGAGAATCTTCATCACTGCTTTCTTCACTCTCAGAGCATAATTCCACGATGAAAGGTGCATCCAAATATCCATCTTTACTTCTGTATTCTTCTTCAAGTTTCTTAACGTGGGCACAATGATTGCGCCATTCTTCGACGGGAATGGAATTAAAAGCTTCCTGTACCATTTCTGGCATTTGATTGGCTGGTTTGCCAATATTTACCTCAGCTACTTTGCGTTTCATTGATGCCCAGATCATTTCAATGGGATTAAGGTCACAATGATACGGTGGTAAACGCGATCCTCGGTAAATAAAACGAGGAAACTAAGGATACTATGTATGGCATCACTTACCTGTAGCAGCTGAAACGCGCTCATTTACTCTTTCAAATGGAATAACAGGGGCGCTAGATTGCTTTTCCTTCATAAAAAATCTCTTCACATTTAGCACCACCTCTCTAGTACCACTTCTTATCAATTTCGGCATATTTTGAGATTTATAAACGGCACTAAAAGCAATAAATAATACTATCTAAACTGACGTTTTACAAGATGGCAACAATGACGGCGTTTAGTTCCGATTATAGCCACGTGCCAAAAGATCCATGCAGCACTGTACTTTTGGTTCGTTCTTCTATGGAGTCGTTGTCGGTTGTCGCCTAAAGTTCGGCCGTTCAGAGAATGCGTTCCTGACACCTATCAGTTAGTCACGACTAGTGATGGGCACAACATAACACTGAGTTCGTTACCGTTCCTCCAAAATGAACCGCCGCGTTATTTTTAAGATTATTTTCGTTTCAAAATTGGCGGAATCATTAAAAATTTATATTTTAGTAATTTAAGTGGAAAACAAAACAAGGCAATATTAAAAGAAAATTGTTTTATTTATTCTTTGTTACAAAGTCATTACATCAGTATTTTTATGCAATAAAGTACATTGAATTGAATGTGCGTACAGAATATTAATCAGACTCCGATTCGCTTGAGGAGGTGGTGTCTTCATCATCATCTTCGCCTACATGTATAATTATATTATTATCAATAACAGAATCAATACTGATATCTCGGTCAAAATGTTCCACAATCAGGTTTTTAGTCTTCTCAACAACCTTTGCCCAGTCATCTCTTGTGACTTCTCCGCAGGCTTCTTTTAATAGGGTCATCATCTTTTTCATGCTGAATGGCGGGGAAGTATTGTGGCGGGCGGCGTAACCTTTTATTTGAGCCCAGATTAGCTCCATCACGTTATATTGGCAATGATACGATGGAATTCTTAGAACGCGATGACCGTACTCCAGAGCCAGTTCATCGATTTCGTATCGCACATTTGCCGCTTTATTTTCTTTAACTAATTTAATTAGCTCTGCTTTTAGCATCTGCATATTTGCGTCAATGCTTGTAACCAAGCCACCATTTCTTCTTTTTTATTAGCTTGGGTGGGTAGTTGCTGTATTTGAACCGAGTGATAGGAGGCATTATCCATGAATATTACAGAAGGCTCTGGTAGGCTGGGCAAAAGCACGTTCTGGAACCACTCTTTAAATGTAGTGGCATTCGATTCCTTGTGGTAGTCATTTGTGGTTTTTGATTGAAATGCCTGTAACGCGTTCTCCATAAAGTCGTATTTTGCAGAACCTGCGTGGCATATTATCAGACGGGCCCCCCTTACCCATTGGTACTTTCGACGTCGACGCTTGTGTATCATCCGTCCAAGAACGGGAAACCGTGTGATTGGCGTTTAGACATGTCTCGTCAATGAACACGACATTATCCCAGTTATCAATATTTTTTTGCTTCTCTCAAAAAACTTATCCTTTTTAAAATTATGTCGTATCGTTCTAATAAAATTTTTTTGTCTGTTTTTTATACGAAAAACCAATATCTTTTAAGATTTTGGTTAAAGCAGTTTTACCCCCGGTAAACAGTCCAGCTTCTCTTAACGATGCCAAAAACTTCTTCCTGTTGATATTCATTTCTGGAATAGTAACCATATATGATTTCTGATTGCATCGGCGTCAAAGGTGTCAATATCTGTCACGGGTTTAGTTCTACGTTTCTTCTTCGGAGTACGTAAAATATTATCTTCCGTGCCAGTAGAGTCGAACTTTTCTTTATTAATATTTGTTATCGTTCGTTTGCTAACTCCACGCGCCTGAGAGACGCGTTCTTGTACGTGTTCGACAGGTAACAGGGGTCCGCCATTTTGCCGCTCCCGCTCAAAGTAATCTTGCAGCTTGATGATTAACTCACGGGCTCCACTTTTCAATGTTTGTTCACGTTTAGGCATTATTATGCACCAAAAGTAAAAAGAACGCAATACAAAACACAATCGAAGTCCGATTTAGCGCCGATGTCAATTTGAAAAGCAGAAACAGTCCATTAAACGAAAGCCGGGTAATCAAATAAAAACAGATCGAAAACACTTGAAGAATGTGGTCTATGCGCACGAAACGACAACAGACGACTGTTTTAGCGTCACAAAATGGCGGCCCATAACGCCATTTGGGTTACCATTTTCAACCTAAATATAAAAATGCTACTTTCTTTCGCGCGTTCGGTTTGGTCGTAGTTTTATTTTTATCTATACATATAATAAAACAGTAACAGAAAAAAAACTGTACATTGAGTATTTTCGAGAAAAAATAAGTGGCTTTTGTTAGAAAAACGTAACTGATGACAAAAAATGACTTTTTAGAATTTTTGTCTGTTTGTCTGTGTGTATGGTACGGCTTCACGCCAAAACTACTGGATAGATTGAATTGAAATTCAGCAAAAATGTTCTTTGTAAACCAAGGAAGGCTTTAGGCTACATATTATCACGCCGTATGTTATAGGGGTATGTTATAAGTATGTAAGCAATATTGATTTTAAAAGGTTTTTCTCTGTAATTGAATGCACAAAATAATTGAATGCACAAAATGATATGTTATTAGTTAAAATAAAAATAAAAATTTAACTCTGGGAACATAATAATCACGCTATGTTCATAAAGGAGCGGGGCAGTAATATTATAAATTGCAAGGGAACAGCTGTTTAACAATATGTCGACCGTCAAAAATGTTTACCGCATTAAATGGTGCAAGTTTAAATCCCATAATATTGTTTTGAAAAATCGTAATTTTTGTTTAATTTTTGCACTTTTTATGTGCATTAGGAAATCCGGGAACTTTACATGTCCTATCTGATTGTATGGAGAGTTTCACACCAATATTACTAAACAGATTGATTGGTGGTACAACAAGTTACACTATCATGTGGTTAAAGGTAAGTCAAACTTTTGGTTCTAAGTTATCATCCTATAGAAACGGGGGTTACCTTTGTTGTCTGTGTTGGTTGATGTGTTTAATTTTCCTACGAATAATTATTATTTTTCTACTATTACGTACTTATTCGATAACTTTTCATTATTTTGAATATCGTTAGTATCGGATTAAGAAGGAATCTAGGTATGCCTTTTATAAAAAGATCAAATCTGTCTCGAAACTCAAGGGTTTTTAAGATGCGCAGGTTAGTTAGTAGTAGCAGTAGTTTCTCTCGAACCCACGCAGAGCTTTAACAACGGCTAGGTGCTAACCGTGAGCGTAACGCACTAAGTTTGTCCGCAGAAACTACCACGCAGCGCCAATTACTACTAGAATTTAAACGAGTCCGCACTACTGCTTCTCGATCTCAGGAAAGTGTGGAACAACGAGAAATGCTTTTAGCTATCGATCGGGATCATCATTCTTTGTCTCGCGCATCCGAAACGGTTACACAGAGGGATCAAAGGCTGAGTTTTCAGAATATCCGCTCTGAGACTGCTCGATCACTTGAGAGCAGTCAGGAGCGTGAGATACGACTTGCGCGTGACCGAGAACGTGGGCAAAGCCAAGGGTACAGCTATAGTTATTTGAAGATCTGGAACACCCGTTGTGGAACTCCAAAGCCCAGCGACATTATAACATATATAGGAATGACGCCTTAGCAAAAGTTGTTTAATCTGATGGGCATTTCGTGTTGACTTACAAAAATGAAAGATCTGGAACGTCTCGAATCGTCTCGCACATCACGTTGTTTTCCCGTCCCCGGGCTCTTAGAATTCGAAAACAGACGTTTTAGATCTTTGATTTTGACGACCCCGTTGTCGCTGGCGTAAGCAACATCATCCGCGAACAAAGTCGCGGGCAGCAGCTAGTATTTAATAAAAGTTATCTTATAGTCCATTATTTTCAAATTCTTAAAAAGAAAAACAAAACGTATTATTTTATAAAGTATAACTGTATAAGAACAGATTACGATACTGTTATTGCCTGTTATTGTTAGCACAGCACTACAAATATAAAGCGCTGACATAACCTTGTAATAGTGCAGTATAGATTTAGAAGGGTATGTTCCGAAATACAACTGTCCAATGCAAATGACGTCATGAATCGACGCTATACTGGTGATTCGTGATCCAAAACATTGGATAGTATATGACGTCATACTTTTGCGCCATTTGGAAAAGTGTTGGCGATTATTTTGTCATTTTGTGCTCCAAAAATCATTATATCCTCCTAATGGATATAACATCAATTATTCTATAATTTTTTGTATTTGAATAAATAGAAACGAATTCTGGCATGCTTCATTCGGCAAACACACAATTAATTTTTTTTTTATTATGGCCGGATATCCGACACAATATGGCGGCGCCACGCTAGTACAATAAAGTGTCAAATGATACGTCATTTGCATTGGACAGTACACTGCGTTGTATTTCGGAACATACCCGAAAAATATTGTTCACCAAGTTATTTGACACTCAGTTTAGCACAAAATTATAATATTCATTGATTATTGATATAATAATGTTGTTTTAATGCTCATCAATTGTTAAAACGGTAAACAACCTGCAAAAATATTTTTATCGTAACTGCAACGCCATTACAAAGTTACGTCGTCAGTTCAATCGCGACGTGTCAGGAACGCATTCTCTGAACGGCCGAACTGTAAATATTCTACGTAAGTTGATATTCGAATTAATAGTTTTTTCTTTTGCTGTCAATACTCACGTAATTTTGAAACAATATTATGTAAGTATTGTCTACACAATTCAATTATATATAGCTGCTTTTTGAGCTTGTCATAACGAGTTTATTGTTTGCTTGAAGGTTATAAAAAAAATCACTGAGTGATCGTGAGTATAGAAAATTTCACTACATAGTGCATTCGTCTGTGCATTTTATAAATGGCTTAGGACACTTACTGCTTGGGTTGTCTGATTAAAAATTGTGAACA